AGAAGACGCATAGTTCTGTAATCATTCATCACAATATAATAGTATATTACATAATGAGAGTTGTTTTTGTGTAAGCGTAATTGTATTAAGCACTTATCACTTGACCTACCTGGAAACTGCCAGTAGCATATTATAGAACCTTAATGCTAGCTTTAGTTGCAAATGAGCAGGAATAGGTAAACCACATGCACTTCCAATTCTACTTAAAGCTAAAGGTACAGCTAAATACATCGATAACGGTTTTTTCCCGAAACCGATATCTGAACAAATTCAACAAAGGATCTTGCATATCTCGTATGTATCTCTTTGGAACCCACTCGGGCATTTCTTAATCAACATATTTCATAAATTCTTCCGAATCGTTCATATTAATTATATATTTAACAAAACGTGTGAATAACAAATGGTAATTCTCAGCTCAACTATGACAGAAGGTGTGGTACCAGAATGGTTAGGTTAGAAAAACACACTCAAGGGTCCTATACTCGACACTCAAGTCCAAGTCGCCCTTACACGTCAGCTGATCTCGAAGTGACGACTATAAAACGCATTTTTCATTATGACAGTCACTTGAGTGTTCAGTGTCACTTGAGAGGCGTCTATAAATACGGCCAATAGTCTGATATACCTAGTATGTTCAAAACAAATATTCCGGTAATATACATGAATGTTTATCGACGGTATATTTTCATAAAATATTCTATGGATATTTGTGGATTTCAATACGCTTTGTGTATACATTTGTTAAAATAGAAACAGGGCAATTCAAATATAAAATTTTTAATTGTGCTAATATGTCAAGATAAGTTAATATAAATGCATTATATTAGTCAATACAAATGCATCAAAGTTATAATTTTATTGGTCAATATTAAGAAACTTTATATATTACTCAAATACATTTATCCGGATATCAAAGTTCCCGCCCTAGAAGATGTAAGCACGCAATGCATATGACAAATTCCAATTACCCGCATAGTGTACACGGATTACGTCCCGCTATAACGTAACATTCGATAATCGATAGATGGCCGATAGGTCTAATGAGAATATGAGAATTGTTCTTAGTAATTTGAATGTGAATCTCCCGGGTCTGCCATACATCATGGCCGTAGATCGAATGACTCTTGTTCTTTTATGTATGCAAGGTCTGACAAATTCATCTCTATAGCATTCTAGTACAAAAACAAAATAATAAAATTTAGTTTTTTGGCCTTGTTCTCCGACTGATTTTTTATATACCTACCTACTTAATCTGGTTTTGTATCAAAATGTAGTTTTACAGATACATATTATCGGGATACTTTTACACATATACATACACATACACATATTTTTGACAAAATAGTTATTATTTTACTCATTTGACCAGTCTATTTTTAGTTACAATATCATCATATCTTCTATATTCAGCATAATTACCAATTACAATTCATCTTAACGCTTATCGCTTTTTGTCTAAATGGACTTTCAACACTTTCAAAGAAAACACCTCAAATTGCATCCGAGGTTTAAAAAACCCTTCTTGGAATATAACAAAGGCATGCCCTGAAATTCGTTTTGTTTCGTACTGCAGTCCCATGGGAGATCATGGGTGGTGGCTATTCAACTACCTGACTGACAATATATTGCAGAATTTCACGCTGATGAGATGTTTCTTACTTGAGAACAGACCATTAAATATTCTTACAATGAATTGCATAATTTCGAGCTTCGATCGGATGTATATAAATTTCATCTGAGTGTGTAACATATATTACTAGGAGAATAGACCGAGCCTGTCCAAATGTGACTATTGCGTATTGGGTGACCTTACGTCTTACAGAAATTTCTAAACAAAACTCATAGATTATAAATTAACCTAGTATTGGAAGCTTCAATTTGCACATTTTTGGTCTATGGGACCCAAAAGTTTTCTTTAAAACTTTTTTTCTTCTCTAACAAAAGGACATTCTAAAAGAAACTTTCTTTAAAAGAGAAGTACAAGGCAAAGAGAAGAACTTTTGCAGATGTTCTCCAAGTTCACTAGGTGCACAAAATATGTTCTGTGACTAGGTGGAAGGGAGAATTGGTGGTTTTTTGCGGAAGTAAAAATGAAACGTAAAATGTTAAATTAGTTCATTCCTTCTCACTCAATAATAGACAGAGCCATCGTGTTTATCTGTGAATAGAGTTGATTTGGTTGGCGTGGTTACTGGTTACTGGTGTCTTGTGAAGCTAAAATAAGTAAGAAGGTAAGTCTCAATTTTAGTTCAATATTATTTAATTTTGCTGATCAATTCACTTTATATTATTTTATTTAATTTAATTTTGAGGTGCATTTAAACAAATTTGTACAAATGTCTCTTCCAAAAATAAATAATAAACGCAAAATTAAAACCGCATTTTCAAGCCGATCGCCTGGTTTCAAAATGAATTTGCTAAGAGCCAAAAGATCTCGACAGTTCAATACTTTACTTCTTAGCCTAGGTAGTAATTCTAGTTCAAAAAGTTCTGTGTTTTCAATTTCGAGGACAGAACCTATTATTTCAACATCACCGCCTGAAGCCACTGAGACAGCTAATTTACTTCTGCAACTAGAATCTACACCAGCTATTATTTCTAGTCAAATCGCGAGTGAAACATATTTGTCTCAAAGTTCTCAAAACAACTGTGGGGCCGAAATAAAGTCTTTATCAACAAATTTGTTGCAATGGGCTCTAGAGGACCATATTCCGTTTCTCTAAACAAATTACTCACTATATTACGACAGCCTTACAAAGAACGTGAGTTCACTAATCTACCGCAAGATTATCGTACCTTACTGGGCACTCCCCTTCATCGTTTAGAGATTAAGACATTCCAAAATGGAAGCTATTTTTATTTTGGTGTTGCAAAAACTGATCAATTTTATATTAAAAAATATTATTACATTAGATATAACAGATAACATATTATTATCAGTGAATATTGATGGTGTTCCAGTTTTCAAAAATTATCTGCATTCATTTTGTCCAATTTTAGTATCAGTTGATTCTGTCAAGGTTTTGAGAGAAACTGTTTTATGTATTGCAATTTTTGCAGGTGTAGGAAAACCAGACTTTAATGATTTCATAAATGACTTTATTAATGAAGGTGTAGAGTTAATAAGAAATGGGATTGTCATTAACAATGCAACGATTCAATTTGGGCTTTTAAACTTAATATGTGACTTACTTGCAAAATCAAGTGTATTATATATAAAAAATCATACTGGATATTTTTCATGCCCTAAATGTTGTCAAGAAGGAGACTATATAAAAGGCACTACTTGTTATCCAGAAATCAACAATTAAAATCAAATCCTGGGTTCTTCAGTCATTTATTGTTCATTTATCAATTTAAAAAAACGTTTCGGTGTTTTCCACCATCATCAGTTTTAATGTGTAGCGTTGTTGCTATTTTTAACGGCCACACGTTATGGCAACTTAACAGTTCAGGATAACATTTTCGATAACGCAGAAACACAACCGAGGTGTGCTATATCTCCGAGTTAACGTATGCGTTTCCGACCCAGTTATCCATCAAACGTTAAAAAGGAAAAAAATATTGGGTGCATAAAGTCAGATGCCCTTATACGAATAGTCTATTAGTT